TTTGTTCGTCGGAGCACGTGGCCGCGTTTTATCTCGCGAAAATGTATCACGTATTAGCGCGCGTCATTTAGTACTTTGCTTCTTAAGGATTACCAGAGCTTTACTGATCATTCTGGCTGAAATCACCTTGTTATGTAAAAGCGTGTGATAATTTATTCAGGATGGTTCCAATTAAATTTTAATAGTAAACTGAACTCCGTTTTTGGTCAACTTGCAGAAAAGGGACCTTATTAGAAATTTTGATGAGATTTGTTTTGATTTGTTGTTACTTGTTAATATAAACAGTACTAAATACACACTACAAATAAATACTACAGTACTAAATTCAAAAAAATTAGGGACCGGAAGCTCGGTATTTATTATTTTTTCTATTATAATTATAGATAGTCTTGAGCTCGGTTAAGAGCTTAAATTTAACATAAAGTAAATTTTCCAGCGATAGAAAAGTACTAAAGAACGCATGGGGGTAGATTGAACACAAACTCTCGGCATTTGTAACTCTTTTTCTTTCCTCGATATATGAGAAAGATAAAAAGAAGGAAAAGTCTCCGAAATACCATGTGGCAGGCGTACAGTTTTTAATCTGCGGGCGTGCTAGTTGGGGTCGTGATGATCAGCATTCTCATCTCGAAAACGCGTTTCGCTCTAGTCCGCGTAGACACCAGAGATTGGTGTCCGAAACGATGGCGGCTTCGTGAGATATTCAAAAAGAGATGGAACCCAGAGCGGCAAGAAAGGAGGAGCGTCGAGGAAATGACGCGAGAGCGAAAGGTAAAAAAGGAGAAGGCGAGCGAACGCCGTGTACAGCGGAACAGAGAGGGAGGAAGTCGACGCGGAGGAGGGCGTAGGAACGGTGACGATGATGGATGAGTCCACAGAAATTCTATGTCCGTTTGCTTTTTGGGCCGCCGCCATGAACAGCTCGAGACACAGCCATGGACGATACCGCCACTAGAATACTAGCTCCTCCGCTGTGGTATAAATTAAACCACGAAATTTGGGAAAGAAAATTGGGCCAAGAAAGGCCTGAATCAAAGATTTTGGACGAAACGGACGTTTCTGAGATTGTGGGAACAAATTCTTGAAATTCGTGACGAAGAATTTAGTAGATATAGGTTAGGAACTAGAGTCCTGGATGTTACAGAATTGCTATAGCAGTTGTCACTAACATTTATTACGTACTTAGAGAACTCCAAGTATAATTAAACAATATAATAAATAATGTAAAAACTGCGAAGTAAGAATATAAAATAATGCAAGAAGAGAAATAAAAATGAATGAAGAGTCGGGGTGGTTTCACTGACTATTATGTAATACTTTCAATTTCAATATATTTGCTTCGTTCATTGTTTATTCATAAAGTGACATCTTAAAGCACTCACGATTCCGAATCTATATCAAATTTTCTGTCGTAAATTTCAAGATTCGTAGCTATTTTTGATCGTTACTACTCCGTTTTTTACAACTACTTCCATTTTTTATAATTCCTTCCCTGTTGATCCTTAAGATTCTTCTATAATTCGAAACGTGAAACAGATGTGAATGAAACGGATGAATGAGAATGTGACCGCAAAGTAGAATAGCAGATAAATCCAATGATTCTCTTATACAAATGCATTCTCGGTCCATTCTCGCTGCTAATGTCGACCATCCAATGTTGTTCCTCAGGGCTTTCAAACTCCGTCTCCTTGTCCGGTTTCGTCTGCGGCCGAAAGACGAAAAAAAAAAAAAAAATGGAAAGAGGGAAGACCTCCTATCAGATACTCTCTGCCCTCCTTGGAAGCTTCTAAGTCCCCTCTATGA